GTAATTTTCAAAGCCGAACCCTCACGAAAAAAAGATTATGGTCACAGTGTGGTGGTCATCGGCTGGTGTGATCCACTATAACTTTTTGTCACCAGGCCAAACCATCAGAGTCCTACTGTGAAGAAATCGACGAAATGTACCGAAAATTGCGTCAGCTGCAGCCAGCACTTGTCAACAGAAAGGGTCCGATTCTTTTGCATGACAACGCCCCCCACACGTTTCACAAATCACTATCCATAAATTGAACGAATTGGGGGTTGAAGTTCTACCTCACCGCCATATTCTCCAGACCTTTCACCAACCGACTATCACCTTTTCAAACATTTTCAGAACTTCCTTGCTGGAAAATACTTCATCAATCAGGACCAGGCAAAAAAGCCTTCGTGGATTTCGTGGATTCTCGACCACCCAGTTTTTTCTTTGATGGGATTTATCGACTGGTGTCACATTGGCAAAAGTGTGCTGATTCGAACGGTGCTTATTTCGATTAAATCCGTATCAAGAAAGTTATGATCGTTTAAAGTGGAACACTCAAAACGCTGAGAACTTTCCGGACAACCTAATAATAGCCCGCACCTCACACAGGCACCTGTTCAACTTGTATTGATTCAGTCATCTACCTGCTTACAAATTTGTGCTACCTTATTACTATTGTTAGCTGATTATTCAATCCCAGTTTAGCCAGTGTGAAACATGGATCGCATCGCTAGGTGAATCCCTATCATTGACAGGTTGTCTCCATTATGAACACTTGATCTCAACTCCGTAAAGCATGTTGACGCTATTGAGCTGCTTGATGGAGCATCGCTCCTGCTTACGATCCCCCCCCCAGCTGTCGAACACGACGTTCTCGTTGGGAAACCATTCACGTTGGTGTCCTCTGCTCGGCATACACATTATTTCAAACGGCCAATAATCTTTTTTTGGTGGGTTTCTGGTCTGTCTCTGCTCGGCATAACATTTTCCAAACGGCCGATAATTATCTAGGGTTGTCCAAAGTTCTGGGACACTTTCAGATTTTTTCCGAATTAAGTTTATTCCAGTGGGAAGCAATTTTGATCAGCTATATGTATGTCACCTTCATTGGCAACTTGTTGCCAATCACTACGCAATGTGTGGTTGCCCTGCTTCCAGAAGCTCTTAGTCTGTGGCCCGAAGGCAGTGAGGTAATTTTTCGGTACTATCAAAAATCGTATTTTTTTTACAAGAAGATGGCGCTGGGTGGATTAGTTTGGAGAATGGTCTGTCGTGGGAAAGAGGCTAGAAGTCAGGGCTACACGAACAGACTGTGATGAACCCCGCCTAAGCTTCGGGGATCTCGAGGCAGTTCGTTTTCAAATGTTTTGCCGACGGCTGTAGTGGATAGGCAACATCGTTGCTCGTTTTGGGACAAATGGTAGAGATTTTCCACCCACTTTTCACGATGTTACAATGGGCACCTGTGTTAACAGGTAGGTTGAAGGAGGGAATTCCGTGTTTCTGAGAGCGGAGAGGGTACCCGACCGACATACACAGCCTCACGGCCTTTGTATGCCTAGAGGATTGCGCGATCGGTTCTGCCCTTTCTGGGGGATCTAGCCGGTGGCGCTCCCAGGAGTGATTCAACTAGAGGCACCCACTCCATATCCAGTTACAGTGCTGTTCAACCAGCTGTACAGCGGGAGATGGAGAAGCAGTTGTAAGACAGTACCCCACATGTGCTGCCTTGGTATAGTGTCAATCATTAGAGAAAATATTTGACCGAACTTCATAACTTTTCTAAGGGAGCGAGGCCTTCTCTCATTTGTGCTTTGGGACCAGTCAAGTGTAAGGAATAGATAGCAAGTTGATTTGTACGTATTGGTTTATTCAAGCGAACACAGCTAGTCATGCAAGGCAGGTGGCCTTCCTTGGACGAAGTTTTTCACCCGGATAGAAGTCACTAAAGCAGAAGCAATTGAGCCATTCCAAAGCCGTACTGTGGAAGCTAACATCAAGATCTAAATAAGGGAAATGCCGCTTATGGCTAGACACGGTTGTGGTTGTACGGAATCATATATAGCGAAGGTCGGTGTCGAAATGATGATTTCAATATACACAGTTGACTTCATCAAGTGAGGCGACAGCGTTGACTGGAGGGACGGGCGTGAAGAAGCTGTGGAATGATACCTACACATTCCCAATAGACCAGGCTACTAGTGATCTGTGTCGAAAATGCTGCTGGCACGGAAAATCGTAGATACGAGATTCGCAAAAAGGCCCCTGTCCAGACAAACTTTTGGGATCAAACTATATTAGGTCTGTGGTAATATAGTAATAACGGCCGTTTTTTTTTTCTCAATTGAAACATTTGTTTCGCAAAGTGAATGTTTTGCAAGCAGAGTATATATTAACCCTCATAACTAATCTCATATAAATCTGTAGAGTTAATTCTCTCAAGTATTAGAGAATATTCGGAAAATGCCCATTGATTTTCAGGAGGATATAGTTTATTGGTTGACTCATTTTTTGAGTCGCATTCCTGAGCGTTGGAAGTGCAGTCACTGGAAAAATTCGCATCTTCGACAACCTGCCTCTCATTAGATACATGTCATGCTAATTAGTTGACCACTATAGCTTTTGATCCTATCTTGAATTTGCATATTTAACAATACTAACGAAGAAGTATGCTATTAATACCCGCATGTTAAGCTTGATTGTCACAAATTTTCATATTTGAACACAAATTGTTCATTTGAAAAACTGGAGTTACTTAGATTCGCGCGCATTAGGTATTAATGGCGATATTTTTTACAATCGAAAACTTTAGTTCTAAAGTGAAAGTTTGAAGAGTCTTAGTTCGTTCTAATTTAGCAAAAATCGTACTCTCCAAACTCGAAGTATTTCTGCGACTGTTCGTGCCTTCTGCAGAAGCAATGGAACGCCGACCGATAGGGAACACGTATAACGGGAACAAGGCCGTGCAGACGACGAATAGCTGACGTCCACGTAACCTTTGCAAGATCGCGGCTGCTGGGAAGAAGCTCACAAATGGCCTGGAAGTCTGGAAACAGCCAGGCAGTACGCTCAATGATCCTGTGTCTGAAGCCTGCAGATGGATGTCGTGGCTCGCCGATACCGGAAATTAAGCGAATTCTAGCGACGTCCTATTAAAATCGCTTTCAGAAGGAGTATTATGTTAGCAGGGAGAGTACTACCTTCCCTCTCATCGGAAATGAAACATGTGATCGAAGAACGCCAAAAAAAGCACCGAAAAAGACTGTCATAGTGAAATCACCACAAGCGTAGGTGTACCACCCTGTGTTATCAAGCCCTTGCTGAAGAGGGTACTCGTTACTTGGGTGAATGCATGGTTCCAACATGAAAGCAGTCGTCGATGGAGCTTTGTTCAAGACCGATAAAGAAGACCTGCCAATCTACTACTGAAGGATCAAGCGCGCGATGAAGAATTCTGTAAGTGTTAGTCAGAAGGCTCGTGTTGGTCTCCCTGGGAAAAAGGAACTATTCCACTCTTGTGATTACTAGAAATATAACAAGTACTGAAAAGTTCTTATAGTAAATCGTAGATCGTATTCTATCCCTTTCCCCATACTTATTGAGTAACAGCATTCGAGATCAAGTCTTTATCGCAATGCTTCCATCCATCACCCGTCCCGTAACAAGCTGTCATTCTTGGTCAGAGCGTCACAATCGTACATTTTACCCAACACTGAAACCTGACATTGTGTCGAGACCAGTCTTTTTTAGCGGAACTGCAGTCAGTTAGCTCAATGAAGATGTTACAGTCAGGATAGCAGATTCTGCGACAGGTTTGCTTCTCGGAAGAGAAGTGAGAAAAAACCGGCTCGAGCTTTCCTAATGTTCCAAATCCATCGTACCCTTTTTTAAGAAAATAACTGAAAAGAATGGGATATAACTGGGAGAGTTGCTTTTAAGCGAGTGAGTTCTCTCTCAGAACTCTACTCGGTCGGGACGCCGACGGTTGCTACATTGATGTATTTACCCCGTTTGTGGACCGCGTGGTGCACAATGTGCAGGAGGAGCAAATCGTTTTCTAGGGCAATTCATTGTGCTCCAAGTTGAAAGAGGCACACATATTCGGCTGCCCAGTCGCAGGCAATTCAATTCGAGGTAGGATGCGCCAAGCTCAGTCTCAGTTTCCAAACCTACCTACCTACCATCTTCCTGAACTCTCCCAAATTCCTCCCTCTCAAAAAGCTGTCGTCGAGTGGAATGGGTGGGGAATAAGGGTTAATGAAGAGCCTGTGGGGCCCGCGAAACAGGAAACCACGAGAAGTCAAACATTTGAAAAATTTTCCTCGAAAGCAAAAACCCTTTTTTCATCGACTGAATGCGAGCTCCTCGCTGAGAATCCCTAGCGGACGACGTGTCCTGCCTGATCTGTGCACAGTCCTTTCCGCCAACCATGAGAACATTCACGAACAATTTGCTATGCCACGATGATGAGGCCGGATTCATTGTTTCATGCTAATGCTAGAAGCCGTTGATTGCAATCACGACTTTCCTAGTATGATTCATTCTTGTTCACTGCGGATGATGGAGCGTAACAGACGGGCTGAATTGGCGCGTCGCCAGCTCGTTCTTTACCAGTTGTTCAAACGGATACGCGACAACAGTTGCTGAGAAACGACTAACCCGAATGATAAGATACGATCTTCTCGTTTGCTAGCTTCAAAAATTGGTGAAAAACAGGTTTGGCTCCGAGCCAAACTCATCCCGTCTGACACGCCCCATCATACGTAGCGAACAAAAGTGTACAAGTGCCGAGCCCTCTACAATAGAACATGAAACTGCAGGGTCGTAGGATACACGTAACAGAGTTACCCTTCATTTGAAGCACATCAGAATAAAATACACAAACTTTTGCTATTGTCGACATTTCTGTTTATTAGGATGGTGTTAACTCACCTTTTCAGTGGATTCTTTCCATCCGCCAAGATATGACGCATCAGAGACCACCGAGTCCGGAAAAGAGCTTGTATCGGTTTACTGAAACTTTCTCAAAGAACTCTTACTCTCACCTTATCAGGAGTTCCCTTCGCCTTGGGCTGTTGCGCGAATGTTTTAATTCCACGGAGACGTCTTTGTATTGTCTTTCGTATCAATGGTTTCTTTGGTTCCAATTTGACAAAAGCGTTTTCATCATGTACAGTGTTCTGAATAAAAAGTCTCATTACGTCTGATTACTCAATTCTTATGTTTCCCAGCGCAAAGTAATAACCCTACACACCTCATTTTTCAGTTCCATGGGCTGGTTATCATTTTCCTTCCAAGTGCTCTCCTGCGTATCGGGCACTGAAGAGCTCACGCTGTTTCTGAGTGAGTGCTGTGACTCCTGGGACTCATCGTCACCAACTTGTTCTCCCTGTTCTTCTGTACTTTCGGGTCTAGCGTGTGACCCGAATTTGGCCATTAGCTCCTTTCGTCTCCATTCGTCCGGAAGCTGTGATGTAACTTCCTCTTCTTCCAACTCATCCTTTACGTCACTTGCTTCGTGTACTTCCTCGATTTGTTTTCGCTTGATATCCTGCGCTGTGGGATACTCTCTCACCTCTATCCTTCGCCTTCGTTGTTTTCTTTGTTGCAATTCTCTTTCGGCTTTTTCTCGCTCCAGTCGGCGGAACTCCTCCATTTTGCGTTCCTCTTCCTCCACTTCCATTCTGCGTTCCTCTTCTTCCAGTTCTCGATGACGTTCCTCTTCTTCTCTACGTATTTCTTCCTCCTCCATTCGCCTTTTCTCCTCAACTAACCTTCGTTGTTCTTCTTCTTTTTCTCTTATTTGCCGGTCCAACTCCTTTTCCTGTTCCTGCAGCTTTCTGATTTGCTTCTGTTCCCAAGCCAAAGCTCTTGCAAGCTCTTCTTGTTGTCTTAGCTCCTCCTCTTCTATTCTTCTCCTCCTTTTTTCTTCCTCTTGTCTTCTCCTCATTTCCTCGTATTCCCGACGCTTTCTTTCTTCCTCTTCTTTCCTCTTCCTCTGTTCTTCCTCCTCTTTTTTCTTCCTTTCCTGCTCCCTCTTCTCTTCTTCTCGTCGCCGTCTCTCCTCCTCCAACCTCTTCCTTCTTTCCTCCTCTTTCTTCATTATTTGCCTTCGATTCTCCTCCCTCAGTCTTTCTATTTCCTTTTGCTTTGCTTTGAGCTCCTCGGCTAACTTTTGCCGTCTCTTTTGCTCCATCCTCTCTTGCTCCAACTTCTTCGCCTGTATTTCAAGCAATTTTTTTCGTCGCCTTTCTGCTCGAGCTGCCTCTATTCGCGCTCGTTCTTCTTCTTGTTCCCTCATTATCCTCTCTATCTCTGCTTGTCTCTCGCGTTTCTCTCGCTCACGTCGTTCCTGCAGCTCTTTGATTTGCTTCTGTTCCCAAGCAACTACTCTTGCAAGCTCTTCTTCTTCCTTCTCCTTTGCGTCTTTTGCAAGTTCTGAACTCTCGGCGATCGTCGGCGTCAACATCGTCAAAATTTGCACTGGTTTGTGTTTTCCATTCTGAAACAAATAACTTCGATTTCCATGCACAAAGTTACAAATTCGTATTAAACTACAAATGAAGGGCCTTTCATCCCCCGAGACCTTTGGGACGTTGAAAATCGAAAGGATATGTAGCAGTTTAGACTCTATGTAAGTCTCAGGACTGCTCACAAAGGAGATTAGAACTCGCAGAAAAAAAATTTGGAACAAGTTTTGAAAAGGCATTTTCATCTGTTCTAAGCTATCTGATCTCTTCTTATACACCAGTATTAGGGTCAGAAGCTAAGAATATAATGTTACAATACAATAATATTGAAATTTTGGTTAAGCGGAGATAGTGTACTGGCAAGTAGGCGCCACTTACCACAAGCGTGGTCTGCGGTTCCGAGCGCGGATCAGCTCCCGCCTGAACCAACCGATCGTGCCTGTGGGGAAAGCTAATCAGTAG